TAGTGCCCTCAGGGTCCTGATGCATGCTCTGACAGAGTTTGTCTTAATATTAATTAAGAATTAATATTAAAGACTGTTAATATTAGAGGACAAGCTGACTTGACAACTCAATTATATTCTTGCATGTAAGATGGTACCATTGGTGTAGCGTCTCTGCATGTAACTCATTAGGCAAAGATTTATTGAAGTATGGCGGTTGTTCCACTCAGAGGTGTGTGAAAAGGGAGTTGGAAATACGTCAACAAAGGAATGATGTGGACAGGCAGAAGAATTGAAAAATAGGTTGTGGTGTGATTAAGGTGTGCGATACAGTGGAGAGTAGCTAAGGTACCTGATAACTGTAGTATGGCAGCAGTTGAAAGAGGAGTTGAGGACAAAAGCTCGATGCCAGGAAGGAAATTGATGAGTGAGGTGGCCGAGACAAGGCTAAATTGACAAAGTAAGGGTGAAATCAATTCATAGCAATAATACTAGCTAGATTATACCATTCTCATCTAGAATGAGAGCATACAGTTCTGAAAAGTGACCCGCTTCTGTGTGTCACATTCCATTTGTGAAGCATTTGGCTGCCTTAAGTGGCTTTTACGAAGTAGTACAAACATAAATGAATAGATAGCTCTTAAATACATTTTTTCATAGCTGCCCAACAACTGAGGCTTACTAGCCAAATTGCTTCATTGACTTTCATGAACCATTATAAACCAAGATGTAGTTTTCCAGTAACACTTTAAAGGATCCTTTTTTGTACTATAGTTTAGTTCAGTAGCTTACAGTTCAAATGTTTCAGGGCATTAAATAACAAAGAAGTTGCCTTTACTTATATGCCATGTTTTACAGACCTTGATATTACTGTAGATTATTGGGATAAGTATTACTTCAGCCTCTGAATGCACTCAAATAGAAAGGCCAAATCAAGAGGAAAGGATAGGGATGAAATACAGGGCCTTACTATGCCATAAACCAGTTTGCAAACACAGAGGAATCTTTACTCATTTTTTATTTAATTTTACATGATTCAAAGGCTCTTGTTCAAAATGCATAAACTTCCCTGAGACAGAGGTGGGTTGTGGAACATTAGTTTCATTCCTCACAGTTTTGGAATTGAACCCTTTGACTTTTCTTGTTCTTACTATAAAGAGAGCACAGTTTTTAGTTATTGTCTAGTTGTATGAATGCCTGAATGTGTATGTGTGGGGAGAAGTCTGACATTTAGAAAGCACAAACAGAGCAAATATGTCACCTGTGTATTTTGTCTTTACTCCCTACATAACTTTTCTCTCTTCCTTTTTACTAGACTTTCTAACTAAATAATGTGAAATTCAGTTGATAGTTGATATGGGCTATGCAGCGTTTCTAGTGTTATTTGCCATTCAGCTGACTTGCCTTCAAGAGGTTTCCACTGGCTCGTGGTGAACCTGCTGTTCTCACATTGTGATTTGAGATTAATTTCTAAGATTAGGTCTTCTGGTTTGGAGAGTAGCATGTAATGACATTGCTGATGAGCAACTGTACAGGTGGTGGTAGTTCAGAGCTCCTGTCGCCTGACAGCAGTTGGACATTTTGTAAATCATGTATTCTATTGCTGTAAAAGTAGTATAACAGATCTCCTTTTGTAATCCATTTTATGATTTCTATTAAAAAAATATTTAAATAATGTTGGGTTATTTTATTCTTAACATGTTAAGCCCCTTTCTCAAAAGTGTTTCTATTCTGCTTGGTTCAATCTTGGAGAGGCCGCTGGCATACTTTGAGCTACATGCATATGGAGGTCTAGAAGCACTGACATGAATTTGTTCAGAAGTTTAGTTGCAAATAATGACTGAGTTTATGTCCAAGCAGATCAAGAAACAGTCTGGTATCAGCCTGGGTTTTGCAGAGAACTGTTTCGGGACGTGCAGCCCTTTCTTATTAGTGTGCTGACTTGAACCCAGGCTAGCTCTGGATTTTTGCCTGAACTGTTCCTCAGCTCGAGCTGTTTTTGTTGTGTGTGTGTGGTTGTGTCATGCATGCACTCACCTACTAAATGCTCCTGCAAACCATAGCACTCAAAAGCACGGTGGAGACCCCTGTATAGCTCTGCAGGAGTGGGTTGAGCATAGCTATACTTACTGTCTGGCTGTTGTGGAACCTTCTGAAGGGTTGTGCTGGTCTTTGTTGCGTGCACGGTGGTGTCAGCTCAATTAGCTGGCTAGACAGCAGCTCAGATGGGCCCTGTTTGAGTCCAGGCCAGTGAAGGCTTGGCATTAAGTCAGAGCTAACCTTCCTCATTCCTTGTAGACCCTGAGAAGGCTGTTTAAATGTGGGAAACTGATGGTGGGCAACTCAAACCATGTCTTAACAGAGCTGACTTTCGTCTTGGGGACTTAACTGGAGTGCCAGGTGTAGCTATGGTGCTCTGGTCCTACAGCAGTTCTGGAAGGACTATGGCTGTTTCTGCATAGTGCTGTGGTTCTGTTGATACCTTGGTTGTCTGTACATACATCAATAGTATTTTCCTATCCACGGAATAATTAAAGTAGAACCTAAAAAAAAAAATAGAATTTGATTGTTTTCTACTTAAAGTATTTACTACTCGAAAATTTAACTCATTTAATATTTATAAAGGCAGGTGAACTTAACATTTAGCTTTGATGGTGCACACTAAGTTACAAGCCACAAGTCAAATGCTTAAAAGTTGGTTTCATGTTTATTCAGTACATTTATATGACCATTGCTTCTTTTCATAATACAGATTTGCCTAGCAGAAAAGCACAGTCAGTTCCTGCCCTGTTTTCCAAACACACACCTGGAAAATATGTATATGTATTTCACATATGAACTTTTTGGCAAGCAGAAGCAGTGTTTATGTATTTCTATTTCAATTTTGATCTTTGTTGTCACTTAATACAGAAATTTCAGTAGTTTAGATTAAATAAATTGGTACTCTTTTCATCCATTCAGAAACATAATATACTGTGTTTATAATTTAACAACATTTTGTAGACAAAGGAAAAATTATGATGTGCCAATATTGTCTGAGAATGTAACTATTTATAAATGGGGAACTTGCTTTTCCTCCAAACCCCAAAGTTACTCATACAGTTCATACTACAAAATAAAACTACATGGTCTCCACAGGCAGTGTTTGGCATTATATTCCATATTTTGTTTATGTTGAGATGTAATAAGAATAGTAAACTGTATCCTGGTAAAAATAAAATACCGTTGACTCTGTTAAGTCTTTATCACTTTAATTAAAATGGTGAATCTAATACCAAGGAAGTATTATCCCACCCTATTTAAGTTCATCTCTCACAGGTTCAGCTTCACAAGCTGTCTTTATAAAAATGCATTATATTGCGGCTAAATACTGTGATCTGTATGGTATTTGACATTGTTAATGTCATATTTTATAGGAGAGAACATTGATTTGGTTTTAGTCTGCTTAATTGAGGTGTGTTACTAGGTTGGATGCTTTGGAAGTTCTGAGGTGGCAGTGTTTCCATGTTCTTTTTGTTCAGAATTTAATGTCTTTATGGTGGCTGTACTCTATGAAGCTTATGTTATTCCTGATAAATGCCATAATATTAAAAAGGTTGGTTGTCTAGGAATGATTATCTTTTCAGTGTATTGAACGGTTCACCATGGCTTCTGCTCCTGCATATACGTATATTCACACCTACTCATGCCCTGGTCATTCAGTATCAGAATACTTAAAACACCATTTAGACTTCTTAATGAGTACCTTCATTTTTCATGAGGCATGTGAGGTTTTCTTCAAGACTGTGTCTCATCTTTATGTTGTGATCTGATTACCTGTGCTGTGATATCTGGTTTTCTTTAATATATCTCCAACAGTTGACCAAAAGGGGGTGCTAATAGATCAAACAGTCAGATGTGTTGCATAAAGAGGTTAAAGAGCCTTTTTTGTGCAATGAATTAGGTCTCAGCTATTGAATTAGGTCAGGTAAGTGCTAGTTATCGCATCTGGGTGTCGTGTAACATGCCGGTCACAGCATTGCTCTTCGTAGACGGCAAATTCATGCCTTGTAAATATGGCTGCTTCTTACCTTCCACTAGGCTTGTGGGAGATTCTTTGTGACGTTTTCAGAGGCTCTGTGGCAGGCGTTCTCTTCTGTAAGGCTTCCATATTTTTCCATTTATGCAGTTAAAAACCAAAAGCTTATAGGGGTTAAGCATAGGTTATTTACGAGATATTTAAGAAGTTCAGATTTTCTGAATTTTAGAGATTGAATACAGCTATCCAAAGCTAATAAATGTTCAAGTCAGATGCCTTAATATCCTTCATCCTGATTTCACAAAAGACTTTTGCTGTCCATTTTTTTACTGTTTGGTTTCTCCAGTTCAACAGAACTGGTTAATGGCCTCAACAGAGGGCCTCTAATGTAAGAAGGGAAGAGGAGACATAAGTATGTCCCCTGATACAGGGAACTCAGCTACGTCCTTATCCCACAGTGGGATAAGATGGTTGAGAGACCTGATACTGATGTGAATATAGTAGTGAAGACTGGAGAACTTCCAATGGCTTTTCAATGGACCCTTCCATTTGTGTTAGAGAGATGTGGAACCCATTTGTGACCTTAGTGGATCAGCAGAATACAGTGGGAGTACACGATTCTTGTGGAAGACACGTGGTTATATGATCACAGCATTTGTTTTTCCAGGATTTGCAATACCTGTAGAAATTTTTGCCCTGTACAAATTCACATTTTCACTAGTAGTCACATTAACTCATTATGTGTTACTGATCTAATATAAGAGTATTTTTTAAGTATTTAATAAGAAGACCATGTAGTGTAGTCTTTGCGAAATTTCTACTCTTGTCTCTTTATGCAGTATAAAAGATATTTAGATTTACTGCGAGACTCTAAAATAATAAGTTGTAGCCATAACCCAGTCTAGATGCAATATTCAGGTCTATAATGCCTTTCTAAAGAACTGTACACTGCGGAAGAAAAAGTGACCTTAACCTTTTTTAATTTCCTAATGCTGAAACGCAGAAATACCATTAAAGTGTATCGTTTTATAACAGATATTAAAGCAGAATTCATGCTGAAGCTGGACCATAATCAGATTGATGGTAAATGAAATTACAGTAAATGAATGAAATTACAATAAATTATAGAAATGATTAAATGATAATAGCATAAAATGATGATACAGGTTCATGTAGATCAAGTTTAAGGAATTTAAATGCCCACCACAATGGCATGGGGTGGGGAAAAAAGACTACTTTCATAATTGCAAGTCAAATGGCAGTTTGTCTGGTTGTCTCTGTTGAGGGCTATCAGTCATTTAGTGTAGCCAAAGGAGCTGCTATATGTTCACGCCAAGTTATCCATGTTTATGGAAGCACAAAGACACCTTAGTATTGGTGTGACAGACTAACATGTAGAGAAAAAAGAAGGAATCTTCTGTTAAGTGAGTGACTAGGAGATTTGAGAGAAGGAATATACTTGGGGAGAAGGATGCCAGATGCATCTGAAGGAAGAGGCCCAGAAGGACAAACTTCAGCAAGAGGAGAATTTTGCTGTCCGAGTCCCTGTGGACAAGGTGTGGCATTTCACCAGCTGTACATCCAGGCCCCTTGATGAAGGAAAAACTTTTTAGGGACTAGAAGACCTTGTGAAGGCTTGGTTATAATCCAAGAAGCTACAGATTGGATTAGCAACATGTTAACATGTGGGATACTGTGGCAAAGTGTCTGTGAGATCGTAAAGGACGTGGGTGACTTTTTTTAAGTAAATCTTAATTTTACTTTTCTCTACATAATTTTGAGGTGTTTTTGTTTTAAAAGGCTAACTGTTCTAATAAACCCAGGCTTTTACATTTAAAAACTTGTGTGTTCATCACTAGGGAGCTCACTTAAGAAAAATGTTTAGGCATATCCACAATGGAGCTATGGCCAGCTTGGAGTCTTGTCGCACTTTGTTTATTAGATAGTAACTGTGAAGGAAGTTTTTCTGATCTGTGTTTCAAATAAGACATTAATGAGCTGAGAAGATAGCAGGGTTTATTGTTGCTAGCTATTATGTGTAAAACTTTCTGTATAGTTTCTGAAATTTAAAATTATATTATTTAAATGGCTATTATCATTTAAAGTATTGTGCATACAATAATTTTAAATCAGAGTTTGATTAGTCTTGGAACAGGGTAAGAAGTGGAACTTCCTGTTCTGAAGGCCTCATCCCAAGATACTTCAACAGGAAAAAAAAAAATGCATGAACGGTCAAAAAGAGGCAAAACAGGATAACATGGACCCATATTTCTTACAAAGAGAAAGGAAGAAAGATTACCTTTCCAGAGGTCTGGAGTAGAAGAAAGGAGGAGAACCTTGTGAGAATGGATCTTTAAAAAGTGTGGTTTATACTTCTGCAAGTTTATTGATCACAAAAGCTACCTAAAGTTCAAGGTGGATATGGGCAGAGGCAAGTATTAGTTGGGAGTTTTGTGAGAATTATTTTACTGTTGAGGACAGAATAAAAGGTTTAAATTGACTGGTCACCTAAGTGGTGTAGATTGCATATGCATTTAATTTGAAGGTAAAATAAATGTTGTAAAACTTATACAATTTCTAAGGGGAAACTTGAGTGATGAAATGATACGTGTTGTTGAGGAAGTTTGAAAAGAGCGGATTATGTTAAAGAGGTCTGTTTCCTGGTTATCTCCTCAGTTAAGTGCCTGACATTGGGGACTAACTCGCAGTGAAACCTGTTGAAAATTAAACAAGCACGCTGGGAACACTTTCTATTAACTTTTAAAGAGTAGTATTTCAGATCACAGGATGTTTCAGAATTGGTGGTATTTTTAAGCTCTAGGTTACTTTCCTGAGAGATATAACAAATGAAAGTATCAACAGCCTGTCATCTTTAAGGCAAAACTGGTGTTTTATGTACTTTTACACAGAGGCACCTCCATGGACTAGGATCACAATCCTAGTTTAGTCCAAACGCCAGTTTTCAACCACTTTTCAAATAGGAAGTTCTTAAGGAAAGTATGTTCTTTCCAGCTCATTGCAATCCAGGGACGGACAGAAGGCTGGGCATTTAAGAAATGTGCAAGGTTGCACATTCTAGTAACAGTTGGGCATTTTCCAGAATGGTGTAGTCAAGAGAAATGGCTTTGAAAAATGACGAAGAGGAGCAGAAGCTGACTTAGGTTAGTAAACCATCTGTCTGCTTTTGTAGAAGAGCTAAAACACCATGGAGAGCTGTAAGGTGTGATGCCTTGCAATTTATCCCGGTTGACAGAGACATTTTGTGCAAAAAAAATCAGCTCCCTCTGTATGCAGTGTAGAGGCATTTTGGAGAAAGATTCTGCCCACATTTAATCTGGTATGATTTTTACCCTGCTCCTCCCTATTAACTATAGTGGTATGAAGTCTCTTTAAAATTCTTTTCTGCAATTACGGAAATGTTCAAAATGAGCAATCATTTGAGTAAAACTGATGTCAAATGACACAATGCTGAGTGGAAATCATTTTGGAAGGGCATGGCATTTATGTTCTTCAAAGCTGATTAATGCTTTTCCAGATAAAAAAACCCCACACAACAAAACAAACAATAGCAACAAAAAACAAACGCAAAAAAACCCGCAAACCAAATTCAAACTGAATTGTGCTAAATTTTGTTCCAAATTGCATTTATATTACGAGAAAAAGTGTGATTCTGATCAGCCTTATTACTTATATCCTGGCATAATCAAATCTTTACGTATTCATCAGACCTTTCCACAGAGCAAAGTTCAGAGAACTTCTTCATTATTTTCTATTCAGAAAGGACTAATTTGGTTGCATAATCCCATATTCCTCTTTGGCAATATATTAAGTAGTGTAGCGAACACTGTATCACATGAAGTTCTAGAATACCTGCAGAATACTACTTTGATACTAAAATTCCTGGAGCAGGGGAGAAACCAATTTTGCTATTACAATGTTTTTGCCTTGTTTAAGGTTGGAGATTGTGTGGCTTCAGCTACTTGCCACTGAAACTCAAGTGTAAGGCTTTTAGGATAACTTACCTCTCTGTGTGTTTTTGAGTAAGGACCATCTAAGGGCCATTTCTTGTTACATACTGCAATATCTGTCTATTCTGTTTTTATGATGTATTGTTTTACCTGTGCAAATTTAAAAGTTACAGTAAAACTTCATCTCGTTCTTCAAAGTACCCTTCCAGACAGATTTTGTCATTTTAAATAGGAGTAGATATGTCTGTCTGTGCCACAAAGCTGGGTGATAGGGAATGGCTTTAAACTGGAAGAGGGCAGGTTTAGATTAAACATTAGGAAGAAGTTTTTCACTCTGAGGGTGGTGAGGCACTGGCACAGGTTGCCCAGAGAGGTTGTTGAGGCCCCATCCCTGGAGGTGTTCAAGGCCAGGCTGGACGTGGCCTTGGGCAACCTGGTCTAGTGGGAGGTGTCCTTGTCTGTGGCAAGGGGGTTGGAACTCGATGATCTTCAAGGTCCTTTCCAACCTAAACCATTCTATGATTCTGTGATTCTATAAACTTTGTGCTTTGAGTTTGTTTTTTGTGATGTGGAGATATTTTTTTTTTAAAATTGTTATTGGCAAATGGAAGGTAGTGAAGTGTAATCTGTGTTAGAAGTATAGATTTGTGGGAATCTGCATTTGGAATATTACTGAACTGAACTTTGTTCCAGTTCCTTAGTTTTATAAGATTCTTGTGACTTTCTTTATAGTCACTAATTTCAAATTCCTTTCTTGTGTAAATTTTATCTCCTAAAAACTTTACCATGCTGATACTGTCTGAAAATTGAATGCTTGATTAGTTAATATGTTAAATGCAGTGCAGCTATATTAATTAAATGATCAAGTTCATATCACCAAGTGCATTCTTACCAGAATCAACAACAATTAGGGGAGGGATTTAAGATTAGAAGATATGGTAGATGTATGTGTTAACAAGACTGTTCCCCCAGTTAGGTCTTCTATATTTCCATGGCTTAGTAGAGAGATTTTGAATAAAGCTGTGTGAGTTATCTGCTTCTGAGACACCTTTCATGTTATTGACTATTTAACAGTTATAGTTTACGTGGGGAGGGTTTAGTTTGGATAGTTTTGCAGATTTTCTGAAAGTCTTGGAATTTGGCTTTAAAAGCTGTGGTGTTTTTAAAGGCACATACAGATGGTTTCCTCAAAAATTAAGTAAATGTTACCACTAGTGGTAAATTACCAGAAGTTTAGTTGTAAGTATCCCCTAGGCAAAATCTCAAAGTTCATTTGCATCTGCAAGCATGTCTGGCTTCCCAAATTAGGTAATCTTCTGAAGAACAGTTGAAATGAAAGTGGCTTAGTTCCTCTTGCTGTTCAGTTGTCTATATTCTTGTAGTTCTGTGCCTCATTTGTTTAAAATGACCTTAATTAAATGTGAAGCACACTATTAGCTCAGAGAATTGGGCTTTTTGGCTTGTTTCACTTGCTGTTGCATTATTTTGCCAAAAGATGATTTGTACTCAAAGGGCCCAATCCTGACGTTACTGACGTAATGCAAATTAAGGGCAAATTTTACTTCTTAACTCAGTGATGTGGAATTGGTTCTGTGTTTCCACCTGTACTTTGCAGGTTTATTAACTATACAAGATTAATAATATTTTTTGGAACCGCATAAGCTGACCCATACTGATTCAGAAATGAAGCAATATAGTAGTGATCTTTGCCCAGTCAAAATCAGATTTATTTTTTTTTTTAATTATCAACTTAGGGTTTATTTTGCCAGTTTTCATTTGTTTGTTGTTTTGGGTTTTGTTTGTTTGTTTTTAATTTGTTAATACTCTGTTGTTAAAGATTAGAACTGGAGCTTTACCATTACAATGAGATTTAGGATTTTTTTTTCCTCTGATGCCATCATTTTCAGGACCAGAGTTCCAGAATGCATGCAGCAGCCTTGTATTTTTCTGTCTGTTCTTGACAAATCAGCTAATGTACATTCATATAGAGCAGTACAGTCCTTGCCACTGGCAGTCTCTCTGTGACAGAGCCTGTAGGCTGTCATAAAGTGCAGCGAGTTGTGAACTGCTAAGTGGGAGTCTGCCAAAAACTCAGCAGACAGAACTAATTGGGGAGAAAAAGGATTTTTGTGCCCTCATCTCTCCCTCTTCAATTTTTTTTACAAGACGGATATTGTTAAAGTAACTTGTTTATGTAAGATTTGTCTGCCTCTATTTTCTCATTGCATGAATCATTTTTTAACTTCAAGTCTTGCACCGCAGGTCACTGAGCACTTCCACATGGCGGCTGGCACAGGACCAAACTCGAGACACGCAACTCATCACAGTTGATGAAAAATTGGTAAGGGTTTTCTACTGCATACTGCTATGATACAGCCTTCAGGGTTATTTCTGCACAATAGGCATTCAGTATGGTATTCTGCGTTCTTCTAGGAAAGCTGTATAAATGTGAACTACAAAGCAACAATCCATACATTTTTAGAAGGAGAACATTAGTAAAAGATAAGTAAGTGAAGGAAATATGGCATTTAAAATGTTAAGCAATATAAAATGCTGAGTACCTTGTTTATTATTATATTATGGCCAAGTACCAGTACCAACTATAATTTATAAAAAGTTTGTTCTTTTTGATATCTGGGTATATGTTCTGTGTCGTGAAATTATACAGAATTTTCCAGCATCCTGAAATTATCTTCATTAGGACCCATATTACTAAAGAAACAGTGTAAAGAAGCATCATGCAAAATTATTGTTACTATGCACATATACTCTAGCTTTTGAATATGCATGAAGGAAAGATTACAACTAGGAACAAATGCATAACATTCTTCTGCTAATCAGTAGCAGATCAGAAACTTGGCAATCTTTTCTTGTAAGTTCTTCCATAATGTGTGGTCTGTTACTCTATGTGCAACCTGACGCTTATGTTTACATTATTCAATGGTATAATTTTTGTAAGAGTTCTGGGGGTAAATGCGTCACAGCAGAAGCATGCTTTTCATTGGTTTTCATATCGCTTTTGAATCTTCAGGGGAAAAAAAAATTCCCATCGTATGTACTAGATAGTTCATACTGTATGTACTTTCTTGTATCCCTAAAGCTGTATTGACCACTTAAGAAATATTTGGAATTTGTATTTATAAATTGAACATTTGTAATAATAACTGCAAGTTGAGACAGCAGAAGTTTAGCAGGCTATTGGAAAAAAAACCACACCTACTTTAACAACTCTTCAGGACTTTTTTTTCTCATGCTTTGTATATAGATGTAGCAATAATAATCTACTCACAAGTAAAAAAAAATAGTTCTTTTTAAAATGTTTTTCTGAATTTAAAAAGTAATACCATTTTAGGTTTAAAAATTAGGAAACAAATTAATACTGTATTTTAGTGAACATGATTATCTGGCTAATCTAGTTGCATAACTTGGGATTTGGGAAATTTCATTTGAAGAGTTCATGAGTCACTATGTAAATAAGGTTTACCAAGTCAATACACCTACATTTCCTTAAACAAATTATGAATTTAGTTTGATTATTGTAGCACTGTTCTTTAACATTTTTTAAAAAAAATCTAAATAGAGTTTTTATAATTCCTGAATTTACAGTATCACATTTCCCTATTATGACCTCAGGTGAAAGAGGCTACAGTGTGAAGACAGACCCACAAAATATATAACCTTCTATCTTTCATTTTGTATTTAAATGTACATTCTCCTAAGTTAGGATCATACATTACCCTGTCTAGCTGTGAGAGTTTATACTTCCAGTTGAGTTAAAGTGATACTAATTTGAAATACAACTGATCTCTTCTCTTAGTGTAAATGAACTGGAAGTGAAGTGGTTATTTCTAATGTCATTATATATTCTCATCAAATTGAAAACCACTCATATCATAGTTGCTGGGTTTTTTTTTGAGATCTCATAGTAGCAATCATTAAATAATTTTGTTTGATTTTGATACATATAATTTATCTAAACGGTTATTTTATCCTCAGTTCTTTCAAGTATTAGGTTAAATGTCAGACTGAATAGTATTTTCCTACAATACTGTGCATGTGTGTGCACATTCTAGATACATAGATCTTTTTTTTTCCAGATTATTGTAGGGCCTGAAGCAAAATGATAGAAAATCAGAATATTATTTTAAAATTTTCATTTGTAGATTTAGTGAAGTTTTTGGAGAAGTTTCCATAATGCCATAAAATATCTAATGATTGGTGTTCTATTAATGGGCAAAAATTGTATCCCATTAGCAAGGAAAATCTTCTCAAAGAGTTTTGATATTTTTTAACTCTTTCAAGATAGGAGAAGTTCTCTAGATGGCTGTTAAACCTCATGGAAAAGTCGAGTAGTGTATTAACTTATTTTAGGTTGTTGCACTGTGTTTCCTAACTTTAAGTAGGATTAATTACAACCCATTAAAACTAATTTGACACATTACATGAATTTTCTGGTTTTTTAAGTAACGTTGCTAAGCATATTATGCATTATTTCTATGCAAGTTGTAATTAAACTTTATTCCAGAAGTTGATGCTTAACTTGTTACTGCCAGATATATGAATCTTATTGTTAGAGATCATTAAATCATATTTTGATGGATTTGTTGGCTTTGTCATACTTTTTTTTTTCTTTTTTTTAAAGCTTGGTATCACCTTATGGGTGGTTTTTACAGGCGTATCAGAAAGAAGAAGCAAGAACAGGTGGAAAATGGGATGTGGTTGTCCTTGTTTGCCTGACTCCTCTTGTAATTTGGTTTGAAACTGAACTCTTCTGTGAGTTGATGTTTCCCAGGCTAGTAGAGTAACACTGTGCTTATTGAAAACTTTTAACTGCATATTGTAGTTGAATTAATCTATTTATTTCCAGTGCTTTTGTAGACCTAGTATTCCTATGTGTATATGCATATGCTAGAACTTGATCAATGGGGATTCCTCTGAATTTTCTGGAGTCCCACTTGGTTCTGTAAGGTACTAAAATATTCCTTGTCTTGGGAAACACAAATGAAAACAAAGGGGGAAGAGCATCTTGACATTGAATTATTAAGCAGTAGTTGGTCACCTTCTTACTGCAGCCCAGCACGTGTTGAATGCAACAGAAAAATGAGTTCTAATGAAATCGTAGAAAATACAGTAGTTTAGACCACATTCATTTTTCATATTAGAAAAAAGTGGGACTCTTAAATGTAAAAGGAGTTGAATGCTCAGCTTACATAGAACACATCCAAGAAATTATCTCTTTGTCTCAGTTGCTCACTGTTTTCAGTGAATATTGAATAAAGTAACTTTTAACGAACAGTTAAATCTGAAGAAAATAACATTCAAAATGAACAAAGCTAAACAGAAATGTAGTTCTTGCATCACATTTTGAATCTCTGGCCACCAATTAGGTCATATTCCAAGAGTCTGGACAAATAGCTGTGTGAAAAGTAGTCTCTCAAGACCTTGCTTGCATTAGGAAATTTGGGCTATAGAGGACAAAGGCTGTCGGCAGCAAATCTCCCTCAGGTAGTGTTCCAAATGATTTAACTGTTTGTGTGAGTGCAATAACATAGCCTCCATCATCATTATAAAAAGCTTCAGTGGTTTTGCCTAAAATGGGGGTTTGAACTGTTTTAAATTACTGTGATTTGTTTCAGTCATTCTAAGTAGGGTGCATCAATACTGTTTGTTGTAGCTAAAAGTTATCCAGTTCAGCATGTGTGCTTTAAGCAGGCTTCTCAGTCAGGGCTGCTAATGCTGCACTGTGGATGTCTAGCCTGGAGTTTCTACAGGCTAGGCACTTTCGTGAAAGTATCTGTCTGCAATTGGAAGATACTCCCAAATATTTGCCAATAAAAGGACTTTTGTTGTGATTAAATGATACCAACATTGCAAGAACGTTTCACAATTAGAACAACTGCCAGAAAATATCCTTTGCGTCTCTAAAGCAGAATATTCCACTGATAATGTATATGCTGTAGCTCAAAGCAAAAAACTATTGCAAGAACAGTTGTAGGTTTTTGTCACTGGGGAGACACTAGAAACATTGTGGAACTGTGGTTAAGGATCAGCTATTAGTTGCAGCCATCTCACAGATGTTTTTATTTTGTGTCAGACCAAGATAAAATAGGATGAGTAGCTACACATAGTTAAGCATTCAAGAGCAGTGCTATCAAGTGTAATTGAAATAGTATTGAAGTAGTTTTTGCGAAAAATAGGGATGGACTCTGTTACAAGCATGACAGGCTAGCTACAGTGATGCCATTGACATTTCAGCTCCTGTCCTGAAATTGTTTTGTTTTGTCTACACTGTTAATTAACCTTCTTTTCAGTAATAGTTCAGAAGTCTCAGTACTGAACCTCAGCAGAAGGCTGGCTTCCTTCTAGTTTTAGACAAACTGTGTATGACTCACTAAAGATAACTTGCATACACCAAATTGGGGGCAGAAAATCTGAACCCATTTTTGAGGATGAGCAGTTCATGTTTTTCAGATGATGTTCCACAGGAGCAGTAAATGCTTTATACTGCAGCAGCCGAGGCCAAAGCAGATTGATAAATGGACTTAGTGGATGAGGTAAAGGCTGTGGATGTTGTTTACTTGGACTTTAGCAAAGCCTTTGACGCTGTCTCCCACAGCATTCTCCTGGAGAAACCGGCTGCTCATGGCTTGGACGGGTGCACTCTTCACTGCGTGAAAGACTGGCTGGATGGTCAGGCCGAAAGAGTTGTGGTGAATGGAGCTAAATCCAGTTGGCAGCTGGTCACAAGCGGTGCTCCCCAGGGCTCAGTATTGGGGCCAGTTCTGGTTTAATATCTTTATCAATGATCTGGGTGAGGAGATCGAGTGCATCCTTGGTAGGTTCACAGATGACACCAAGTTGGGCGGACGTGTTGATCTGCTTGAGGGTTGGATGGCTCTACAGAGGCACCTGGGCAGGCTGGATCAATCAGCTGAGGCCAATGGTATGAAGTTCAACAAGGCCAAGTGCCAGGTCCTGCACTTGGGTCACAACAACCCCATGCAATGCTACAGGCCTGGGGGAGGGTGGCTGGAACTCTGCCCAGCAGAAAAGAACCTGGTAGTGTTGGTCAACAGCTCGCTGAGTATGAGCCAGCAGTGTGCCCAGGTGGCCAAGGCAGCCAACGATATCCTGGCTTGGATCAGTAGTGTGGCCCGCTGGACTAGGGAAGTGATTGTTCCCCTGCTCTCGGCCCTGGTGAGACTGCATCTCAAATACCTTGTTCAGTTTTGGGCCTCTCACTACAACAAAGACATTGAGATGCTGGAGTGTGCCTGAAGAAGAGCAACAAAGCTGGTGAAGGGTCTAGGGAATGAGTCTTATGAGGAGCAGCTGAGGTAA